CTTCCATCGCAAGACATCCCAAACATTGCATTTGAGTGATTGGTTCTCATTCATGGAGTCGGCGTTGCGATAAAGACATCGTCGCACATGAATACAGGCATTGAATATTTGAGACAATTCTTCTCGTAAGTCATATTCAAGTTTTGTGAGGATTCCTAAACTCAAGAGAACACTCCATATCTGGAAATTGAATCCCTATATGAGTGAAGACACGAGTAAGAGATCATACATTTTGAGATCAAGTCTTACGTGAAGGAAAGAACTGATGAAATATGTTATGAAAATTGCCTGAAAAGCGCCAAAACTTTTCTTTGACGGATTGAATACATCTTTAAATGATAAGACATTTAGTAATATAATAAAGGACTCAATGAATAAAAAAGTACGTGTTTTAAGCCATATATGCATCGGAATATTCCATGCAATAACAACATCAACGAGTGACCTGGGTAACTCTATGGACACTGGATTCGTTACTCTTAAACTGCAAAACAGATTCATTAGGATATGATATATGCATCAGAAAAGCAATAATTCATGAATTACTCTGAATTCCATAACTGAAGCATCGATTGTGTGGCAAAACATATGAAATAATGAGAGCAACGGAACTGAAGAGCCGTTATATAAACTGTTAAACAAATCTCAATGACATATACCAAAGACATCGGCATTACTGTCACCAATGAGGTGACAACAAATGGGATGAGTCTGTGGCCGATGTACTGGTGGATCAAACACGTGGACAACAACAGAAACACAATTGAAATCATGAGATAATACATGCATTGAATAAATGATAAAATAAAAGATTTGTTTGTTTTGTGGACAACGAAGGGATGCCAAACACCCAATAGTGAGGACAACGGATGTAATAAATAGCTTAGGGATGAAAGTAATGTCTTAATCGTATGATTGTCTTTCACTTTATCATCACTTTTTTCATTAATCATTGAATTGAAGGAAATTATTTTCATAACTAAAAGCATTTGATGAGAACGAAGGCGAATAAAGGGTGGATTAAACCATACCATCGATTCGTTAAGACATATGAAGCCAATGGAAACCATCCAAACAATTGTCTTGTGTTTGGAGGCCATCAGTGACAGTACGGAACCGATGGATAAGTAGACCATCAAAAAGACAAACAAATTGAAATCATCGTAAAAGTGGAAAAGAAGTAATGATAATCCGGTTCCGATGGTTAGTATATGTGTGGCAAACATATTGTCCAGTGTATCACAGTGGTTGAAATTCTTCTATAAGCGGTGTTCTTAGCCTCGGTTTTTGAATAATTTAGGTAGCCTTTCACACCCTTCTTACGTTAGTGAGTAGTTTAGCATTAACAGAAGTGAGAGCTAATCATAATCTGATAAAAAACACAATAAATTGGTTCAAAATGATACTAAATCTCATAAGTTTCACAATTAATGGTCAATACATTAATTTATTGAACAGTAACTGTAATAATAAAGTATAGAATTAGACATATAATACAAATGACAATACAAATATTATACTAAGTTGTGAAAATAGTTTAACAAATTTTAAACAACGGATACAATATTATAATCACAATTTAATTGATTAGAAAAGATAGGAAAATATTGAAAATAAGCTAGATTATATAGAGTATATAGAGTATATAGCTTACAATCAGTTTGAGGGAAGTCTTGCGGATAATCACTGTATTCCTCGTAATAATCCATTTGACACTCAATTCAATCAAAATAAATACATTCAAATGAAACACAATTTAATTGAACATTAATTTCAATTCATTTGTCAAATATTGGACACGTTTTTCAAATATAATAAAAACAAAATTCAAACAAAATTTGATAAAAACACTGAAAACTTGTAAATAATTTTCGTAATGTTTTGGCATTTGATTGACACAAATGACGATAACTTTTGAATTGAAAAATTGGTTGCATTTGAAGGGAAAGGGAGTGAAAAGTGTGACACATTTTGCAAACAATTTATGGTTTCAATGAAAACATGTTTTGGTTGAGTGTTACGATTGGAGACAATTGATGGGCAACTGATCCGATGGATCCGATGAGTTCTTCCGATAGTAAGGACTTCCGGTCAGTGCCTCCACCGGAAAACCTCAACAAAAGGCAGTCCTACTCGAAGTGCAATGAAATCTCTTCGGACGGCAAGACATTTGACTTCAATTATGTGAACCGAAGACAAAGAGCGAAGACAGACGACGACTACTTCGACGACGACGACGACCAACAGGTCTCACAACCCGATTATATACCCAAACCCGGCAGTCCTACAGAAGACACCACAAGAGTGGATGACAACGACAATGACAACGACGACGACTCGGAAGAGGACCCTTTGGATGCCTTTATGGCAGACCTCGAGAAACAGAGTAAACCCGACAAACCCAAGACATCCATTGCCTCAAGAAGTGAGCCATTGATGGCTATGAAGAGCACTGTTCTGTCGAAAGCAGTGAAGACGTCAGAAACAAAAGGCATTAGAGATGACATCGAGAGGGAAGACATTGAAGAGTCNGATGCTTCAGTTATGGAATTCAGAGTAATTCATGAATTATTGCTTTTCTGATGCATATATCATATCCTAATGAATCTGTTTTGCAGTTTAAGAGTAACGAATCCAGTGTCCATAGAGTTACCCAGGTCACTCGTTGATGTTGTTATTGCATGGAATATTCCGATGCATATATGGCTTAAAACACGTACTTTTTTATTCATTGAGTCCTTTATTATATTACTAAATGTCTTATCATTTAAAGATGTATTCAATCCGTCAAAGAAAAGTTTTGGCGCTTTTCAGGCAATTTTCATAACATATTTCATCAGTTCTTTCCTTCACGTAAGACTTGATCTCAAAATGTATGATCTCTTACTCGTGTCTTCACTCATATAGGGATTCAATTTCCAGATATGGAGTGTTCTCTTGAGTTTAGGAATCCTCACAAAACTTGAATATGACTTACGAGAAGAATTGTCTCAAATATTCAATGCCTGTATTCATGTGCGACGATGTCTTTATCGCAACGCCGACTCCATGAATGAGAACCAATCACTCAAATGCAATGTTTGGGATGTCTTGCGATGGAAGAGTTCGCCCAAAGTTTGTGTCAGTAAATGGAAGCACAAGAACACTGAATACAACAGCAGACGTGTGGTTGTGGTGAATGTGTTGTTCGCAATGCTAGCCATCACTCATCTCGCATATCTCGGATCAACATTTGATGGCAAAGAGGAGGTATTTCACCATCTTTTATATATCTCTCAATAAACTGATCATTATTTTAATTCCCATTAAGTCTTCCAAAGTGTCTCATGTATTGGCCGTTTGGAAAGAATTGAAATTTTTCTCTCACTTAATATCAATCGTGACTTTCATTATTTATAAAATTATTTAATAATTCATTAAATTATACAAAATATGTATTATTTTTTAAATGTAACTTTTGATAACAATATTTTATACGATAAATTACTTAATTTACATAAACAAGTCCATAATATGTTAACAAATAAAATAAATTTGGAAGTTGAACTTGTTCAAATATTAAATAAAAGAGCCAATGTATAGCTAATTGAGTTAATGTTAAATTAAAACAATTCATGACTAATATTAATTGATTAAAATCACTGAGTTACTGTATATAAAGTGAACAGTCATAGTTTCAGTATAACTTATTGTAATTACAATTATATGCATATAAATGTGATATTAATTGCAATTACGGTACTGTAATCACTGTAATCATAATCTTAGGATACAATGAGAAGGGTTGCGGTCGGCACCAAATTTAGTTCTTTCAGAGTTTTATGAACGTGTAGTTCAGTGAACACTTCGTGGACGCACTTCAGGTTAAAGTCTGTTAACTCCGATCGCTCTGATATCCAGTCCTTGACGTCCGTTAGGGTCTCATTGGCCGCGAAAGTGGCCTCAATTTGAAGACCGTTTGCGAACTTAAACCTAAGTCGAGAATACTTTGCATCAAACCTCCTGTGCTTTTGCTCTCTCATGGCTTTGGTTCGTAGCGTTTCTTCCAATTCTCTCTTTTGAGTCAATGTCTGCATTTCACGCACCACTTCATCAGTCGATAGTTTGAAGAAATTGTCACTTAAGTCGTCTTTTGGAGTCTTTTGATTGTTCTCAACACGTACTGCCTGTCTGTCCAGAACTATTGGAAACTTTTGCGGGTTATTCAGCACATCCTTATAATAACACATTTGTTCTCTTATATCGGAAGCCTTATCACTAAAAATAAGCCATTCCTCAGTCGAGTCTAATTCAAAACCAATTGAGATCAAGAACTCGAGTCCGCCCTTCAATTCCAACACTTTTTTCTCAATTTTTGATTTTCTAATTTTACTGAACTTTTCTCTCTCTTCGACAGTACTGTTCCCTAAATTAGTGACCACTTTATCCAATGTCTTAATGCACTCATCTATCCTTTGCTTTCCAACACTTTTTTCTCAATTTTTGATTTTCTAATTTTACTGAACTTTTCTCTCTCTTCGACAGTACTGTTCCCTAAATTAGTGACCACTTTATCCAATGTCTTAATGCACTCATCTATCCTTTGCTCAGAGTTATCACTACCACTGTTGCAGTTAATCAGCGTTAAGACAGACATCAAAGTGAGGTCGTCCGCAAAATTGGTTTGAATGAAATCAAGGATTCTCGACAACAGTTCATCACTTGAAAGCGATTCGTCTAAACCAATTGTGGGACAACTGAACCGTTGGTTTGCATCGAAGTCCTTATACTTCTTCTCCAGTTTCTCCTCTTCTTTCACTAAAGACTGCATTTGTATTGAAAACAAAATACAATTTAAATGATACATAATTATCACAAATTGGCGACAATTCATTGTTTCCATGCAATTACTGACTGTATATTATACTATCGATTATAATCAGTGGCTATTAATGGCAATATAATAACAAACTTAGGCATCCATTATAATCGCTGTCAGTGTCTGAGGCAAAGGTATTACACATTCACCGCATATATCAGTCAATTACTGTCAGTAATGGCATGCATTTGATAGGGTGCGCCAATGGAGTGGACATACCTGTGCTCTCTCTTTCATTTTGTATTCTTCGCTAATCTTTTGTCTTTCCTCCTGAAGAATATTCTCTAAAGTATTGCTTTTATTAGTCGATTGTTGTCTTTGGATGCGTTCGATGGCGGCTTCGGCTGCCTTCTGAGTCGTCATATTCTTGCGGTTCGATTGACTCGTATTTGAAGTACTGGTCGACGAAGAAGTTGGTGACGAAGTGGCGGCTGAAGGTGTGCTGTTGTCTGCCAACAGGTGTCCACTTCCAGCCATTTTGAACTTCGCGTCCAACTTCTTCTTCCTGAAGAAGTCTTTGATAGCGTTGGCCATCGAGTGACACAATGAGACAAATTGTGGCTAAATTCGCGGCGAATGCTCTTTCGGGAGCTTCAGTTCCAACGCTTCCCGACGCAACTGATCTGAAGTCATGTCCACAAGTATGTCACCAATGAGTGCAATGTCTGTCATATATGTACACAAACCTAGTATTTGTTGTTTTTCCTCGTTTCTGGAGATGAGTTGTTGTATTCTTGAGCCGTAGTTGTTCCAGAAGATGACAATCAGCAACACATTGGACGCCAATAACACAGACAACCAGAACAGCAATGAGTCGATCATTAAATTGTCGGTCAATTGCATTCAAAACAAACAGTCATTCAATGATTCAATCACTCAATGAGTCACTCAATCGTAGCCATAGAGAGGGCACAACCTATTGAATGCATTTCACAAACTTTGCAAAAGTTGCACTAAATATCTGTTTCTAAAACTTCTATCAACTCTCACCTCACACTCAGATCATCATTAACTGTATTTTTGTACCAATTATTTACTAATTAATTTACACGTTAACATAATATACGATCCAAAGTGTATGTACAGTATGTAAAATTTAGTTTAATTTGTATTTATTACTACATATCTCATCAATTTATCATTATTATTGCCAAATTTGTAAAGCTTTTTAACGTTCAATTTTTAATTCTTAGATTTGATGAATACATTAAATTGTGTACAATTAATGCTAATCAAATGCAACTGATTACAGCTATTAATAGTACTTTCGTCTATACATTTGAGTCGCAAACCAAATTGATTGTGTGGGTCATCGCAATACTTGTCATACATGCATTTGATACCAAATTGCCCTGGTCACTTATACTACAGTATACGGTACAGTAGTGTCAAATTGAAGTTTACAAGAGTTAAAGCTGCAAACTTACTTTGTTAGATGAAGTTGTCTATGTCTAGATTGTGCTAGATTGTTAGTTAGTAAAAGTTGAACCCATGTTTCACTTTAGCTAAATAGTTCAAACTTTATTGAAATATTTAATTAATTAAAATTAAATGTTCAATAAATTCTACATAAGTTAATCATAATTAACAATAATATTTGTGTATTCATATTGAGTTTTATGATAATTATATCCAAAATTTTCCAAATGTTTTATTGAAAGTTGAGTTATGAGTTTATAATAGGAATGCTTTTTAGTAAATGGCAGTAAATTGGCAGTAAATGGCAGTAAAGTTATTATTACAGAATTTACATTGAATTGACCATTAAATTGAGTCATATGTACGGAATTCACTTTAAAGAGATTTGTAACAAATGAGTGTTCATTTAATGTTTAAATGTAATTGTAAAACAGATGATAAAATTTAAGTGTTAAAATGATTTATATATTATATATATTTATATAAATGGCAGCATAGCTTGACATAAACTTTAACTAAACATTCATTTGAAGTTTAACTTTAGCTTTAAATATAACTAAAATATATAAACATTAAACGATTACATTCTTTATATATAATGTAATTTACAAATAAAATCACATTCACTTATATTCCTCTCATTTATTCAATCGGTTTGTAATAATAAGTGTAAAATGGATCAAATGTCTAAAACATACTCTTATTGGTATATACTGTAAGAGTAGGTACTATACTGTACTTTATATACATTATCTAAAACACCAAACACTCGCTGTAATAATTTGTCATACAATAGACTATCTCAAGAAATAGTGTCAATAATTTAACCGATAAGGTGTGACCCCAACCCCCAAACCTCCCACACCTGGCATAAGACTGCAGCAATGATTGTGATAATGACTCGATGGACCTAAACAACATCACAGTACTTATAATGAATGTAAATAACTTAAATGAATGCCGTGAACACGGTGATATCTCAGTCCAATAATTGTACCATAAACTAGGTCTAAGTCATCATTATAAGTAACCTTCAGTCGCTTTGTGCGGTTCCATCTGATGCTCGACCAAAGCCACCAATTTGTCGAAACGGCTGTCAATGCTATCCTTCCACTTGTGTTTGCCATTCACTACAGGCGTCCACTCGGACTTGCAATTACCGGGGAAAATGTGAGATTTCGATAATCTAGACAATAGATAGACAACAAAGCCATCCATTAGTCCATTACTTAGCCATTCAACAAACAAACAAACAATTTCTATATAGACAACAAGTTTTACAAACTTTTTTCGATTAGAATGAGTCGTCGATTCATCACTGGATTTGCGTTTATGTTTCATTTCATTGGACTTCAAATAGGGTTCGTTTGAATAGCACTCCTTAACAGAAGCGCTGTTGTCTTTGCGGTCAATCTTAAGAGTCATAAGAAGTGGTTTCTTATCGTATACTTTCTCAACCGATTTCTTCGGCGAATCACTTTTAGAAGAGTTGTATTCATTGGTTACGGGACTACCGCTTTCGCCGGGATTCCAGGTTTTAGTAATACTTTCGCGCGAATAAGAATTATGCGATTCTTTATCACATTTATTGCTGTCATTCAAAACAATATCACATTCTTTAACTTTGGATGTGATATCGTTTTGTTCCTTAAGATTCTTAATTCCTTTTCGATGAGAATTCTGCGGATATGTTGTGTTCTCTTCGTTCAACGCTTGGATAATCAATGAATTGATTCTCTCCTCATAATTGGGAAGTTTTATCGAATTATTTATATTATTTAAATGTTTAGGTTTAGAGTCATGAGATGCCATAACACGCGATTGGAGACCAGCATTGAACGCATAGTCAGTGTTAGGCCGAGACTTAGTTGTCTGTGACTTCTCCAGAATCGACACCTCCTCTTCCAATTGACTCACTTTCGAAGACAATTGTCGCTTCTGTTTCAACATTGTTGTCAACTCCGATAATATATGGCTCTTATTCTTGGGAAACCCATTCAAAGGCTGATTCACATTCTGGTTGTGATTCAAATTCAGAGTTTCTTTTGGTTGCCTGTGATTCAAGAGTATGTTGTTTTTGGTCTCGAGATTTGTGATTATCTTCTGTAGGGAAGACCTCTTGGACTGGAGTTCCTTATTGTGTGCCACCATTTCTCGGGCTTTTTCGAGCAATTCATTAGAAGTCGAGGCTTTAATGCCTAACTCAAAGAGGCGTGACTTTAATAAACTGACGCCCTTTTCGAGCAATCCTTTTATGTGTCTTTCCAAACAATTTAATTGAGAGATGAGTTCTGTGTTTCGTTTCTGCAATTCATGACAAAACATATTACAGTAAGACTTCACATACAATACAAACATTGAATACCTTTTCGTCTTCGATCTGTTGTTTGAGGAGATCCTTGTGTTGAGGCGTTTGCATATATGTGATGAACTGAAGTATCTGTTGCTTCCAAGTGTCCAACAGTTCCGTCAGATCAGGAGAAACAGAGAACAGAGAGGTGTCTCTTATAACAACATTAGGCACTGAAGTCACTCTACAAGAAGTATCCAACTTCTGGTCCACACATCCGGGCGCCGGTTCCAGTCGATGGCCGGCTGCCGAAGAAATACTAAGAACTGTTTGCGCGTGAAGTAAATCGAGTCCATTGAAAATCATCGACTTCTTCGACTTCTTAGAGCCGATGCCATTCTTTCGTGGCCTCCCAGGCCTTCGACCGGGACTATCGATAATCATTGTGTGCTTTCGTTTGGCGCGCTTTATGGCTGCGCTCACACCCAACGGGTACTTCCGGGGCCGACCGACGCGATTGTATTTCTTTTTTCGCGGAATATTTTCCGTCTCTTCATTGCTCTCGTGATCGGAACTACCGTTGTGTTGACTACCGCTGCTCTGATTGGTTGAGCCTTTGCTACTATTGCACCACTCGGACCACGCTTTTCGCGTCCATTTGGGAAAGTTTCCCGAATTGTCTTCTTTCTCGTCCTTCGAGTCATTAGACGACGAATCACTGCTTCCAATGCTCTCCACTTTATTGGCCTTTTTATTCCGGTTCTCGTCTTCATTACTATTACTATTACTCTGACTTTGACTTTGATTGTGATTCTGAAGACAAAACAAATGTTTTCATTAATCAAACGTAAACCAATCCAATGACAGCACAAATACCTTCAACTTTGGATTCTTGAGTTTTTCGAAATAGCGCTCTAATTTGGTTCTGTCGATAATATGCAGATAATAAGAGACAGGTCTACCAGTCCAAGAGACCGAACCCTTTTTGGGCTGTATTTCCGTCACATCCATAATTGTGCCGATGTCTGCAGACATACACAACATATTCAGTCCATTAGTAAATGCATTCATAAGACAAACAAATAGCAAATACCACTCAAATTGCGATCAGTTATACGGAAGTTGAGGGAACAAAACGCTTTGGAGGACACGATTTTGGCGCAGTCTCTCATATCAGCAAATCGTTGTTTAAGCATATGATCCACGTTTGGACCAAAAGCGAAATTATTGACAAAAATAAACCTAAAATGCATTCAAATGTACATTAAATCCGTGTCCTATTCCCACAGCAAAGGTATCCTTACGTGGCGTTATTAATCACTTCTCTGTGGTCGTCGTGGAAGAAGTCTCCTCTAATCAGTTGGTATTCTCCGTGTCTTTTGCCGAACCATTTCATCCAAAACTTGAACCTCTCGTCCATAGTCCGGGCGTAAATGGACGGCACCTCTGCCTTCTCAATGCCAATACATTTGCGGCAATTGGTGGCGGCGGCCACTTGTAGTACAACCTGTCCTACGCCTGAACCCAAGTCCACGAACACGTCATCCGAAGTCAAGGCTATCTCGTCGATCATCTGAGAGATGAACTCAAAGGACGTCTCGCCGTAAACCTCGGGCGAGAAGGGCTCGTATTGGTTCAGTCTCTCGGGATCTGTCACTGAATAGTTGTACACCTTTTGAATGATGTGTTTCAGTAGATTCATCGACGGCTTGGTTGGCGTGCGCACTGCCAGTCCTTTCCACTGCAATACAGATGAGAGACAAGAGTTAAGTGACGGATCAGACTCGTGATGTCTTACGAGTGAGTGGTGTCTTACGAGCGGAAGAGTGCTTTGAATGACTCGATTGTATTTCTCGCACAACGTCTTCATACTGTCGTAGCATTTGGTGTCGTAGGCGTTGAGCACATTCATCTCCATGGCCTTCTTGATGTCCGGGTGGTCCTCACACACGTGTCGGATGGTGTCGACGATCTCGATGGCGCCGTCATACTTGTCGGATGTGGTGAGCGGCCACTTGTACTCCGCGGGCTCACTGCCGGCCGGACTCAACAGCCGTAGTCGACACATATCTGGTGCTCAACGCTATGGCCGTCACTGTCGCGAGTCTTGTGATCCAAAGCTGTGAACAAACAAATGAAGGCCTTTTGGATCACATCTTCACTCCACTCATTGATCGGCCATTTCTTGCATTAAAGCAATCGCTCGCTCTCTGGCTCTCACTCTGACTCTGCCCTCAC